CCAAACCGCATGCAAACTCAATACCGACAAGAAGCAGAAAATTTCCAGTGGGATATCTTGTTGGACACGTTCGGTTTGGACGATGAAAATGTTCTACCTCTCGAATTATCCCAGAATATGACAGCACCGCATAGTTTACAGCTAAGACCCAGTCGAAAAAGGAAACGACCAAACTGGCTCCAAGTAAACCCAAAGAAGAAAAACTATGATCAGATTCAAGCAGTCCGGAAACAGTATCATATTGAAAGGGGAGGTAATACGGCTACGCATCAGCCTACTGCGCAGCGGAACAATCATGTGGAACAGAGCCGTGCGACTATGCCCCCACGTCGGAATGACGTCCGATTTCGTCATGTGCCGGAGAAAGGTCAAATAAGGACACAGAATGTTCACACCCACTCCATGGCCAAGGCATCCCGTACACAAGCGCACAGACGGCCATCTACGATCAATGGAGACAAAGGAACAACCGCCCGAGGACCAGTGTGGATGTGTGGGAGACACACTGGTTGGTTGACAGCGGATCGACCGTCAAATACGGTGACAAGTGAATCATATATATAGAAGTTTGTAATTGCGTTAATACACAGTTCCTTCAGGTCGTCTTCTTGTCTTCTGACTATAACCCAGTAGCGTCAGGGCAGGTGAAGAGATACAACAAAAACATGTTGGAAGTCGTTCACGAATCTAATTCAGAAGATTGTGGCTTACCATGGATATTCTCTCAATGATTTCTGTAGGTGTGTAAGGTCCTACTTACCTTCATACATTCCATTGAATGCTGCTGCTGAAGGTCGATCTGGACTGTGGATAACCAGTCACAGGCAAACGTAGAGAATACTTGCTCTTTATTCGCAGTCAGTGCTGATATGACAATTGAAATTCCCTAAACTTACTGCTGACGTGGCAGAGATCGACACGCGCTTTTTGAGTAGCCTGAAGACAACTGTTTCCATAAAATCGGTCAGCGCATTCATATGTCAATATGCTACATAAATGTATAGCAATCAGCGATGATATATGTATCCTGTGATTGAAGGAGAAGTGCAAGATAACCACGCTACTAATCAGCTGCTCATGGCCGAAACTTCAACTGTTGAAAATACTGCACGGGAGGTCATGGGTTCGAAGTTCCCTGATGACTCAATAGGGATGCAACATCTGTGCGGTGCTTCACGTTGCTCAGCATAGACTAGCAATACTAATAGGACGAAATCCTTATTGTCGTGCTTTTGCTTTTTGTTTGGCTTGAATAGAATTCTAGGTTAACCTAAAACTATCTCCACATTGTTCTCCAAACATGCTCCCAATAATGCCACATCCTTGGTAAGTTTCGAGGACAGACTGTATTGCCAGTGTTTATGGCCTGTTTCGCAACCGTTAGGCACCTAAGCATCAACAGCATTGGCGTCTACTACTCGACTTTCTGTGTCGATTTATTCCGACTACACTCACTTGTTCAGTGAGGAAATAGCATTCCCCATCAACGGTAGCACAGGACCACCATACTGATTTTCGTACTGACCCTCTTAGCCAATCAGAACAAAAGGTCATAGTGTGTTTGTTGGTTACTCTTCAGGCATGGACACCACGCGCACAGCGAAATCTGCTCTTCTGGCGTGCTTGTTACTTATTGTACCTTGTTACCTTGTCGTACACCAACCGGACACTGTCGATAGGTCAGCAGGTCGGATAGCTACATCAATTCCGACATGACGGTGTGGTGTTTTGCAAATCA